CCCTTTGTGGACCTTAGTTTGCCCACTGGTGTGCAGTCATGTTGGAACAGGAAGGGGCCATCTCCAAACTATTCCCAGAAGGTTGGGAGCAGGAAATTGTCAAAATGTCTTTGGATGCTGAATTATTAAGATTTCCTTTCACTCGACTTAAGTGGCTGAGCCCTGAAAAACAGCTCCACACCATAATCCTCCCTTTACCTAACTTTACACTTGGCACAACACAATCAGACAAGTACCACTGTCCTGGCAACTGCCAAATACATCCATTGGATTGCCAGGTGGAGAAGCGTGATTTATGACTCCAGAAAGACATCCCCACTGCTCTAGAGTCCAGCAGTGGTGTGCTTTACTGTACTTTGCGTTCACTTTGCCTATGCTGAGTGTGTGAAGAGTTTTTAAAACAAAAATTAATTATAAGAATTTTGTAGCAAGAAAAATCTAAGGGTGTTTTTTTTAAGAAGTTTTCTAGGAAAAAGGGTGTAGCCATGGGTAGGATCAACATCCTCAGGAAATCCTGTTATTTTCAAAAGCAGTCTGGATGTTTACATATTAACAAATCCAACTTAATACACTTGGGTTACCACATGAGACAGATGGAGACATGTAGCATTCCTATTCAAACGATCACTTTCAGTCAGAAATCTCTGTAACTGTAACATTAAATTCTGTACCAATGACTTCCTGACTATGTTGTTTTCTGCTGACTCTGAGTTTGATATTTATATTTCTTAATTTCTTGTTTTAGTATGTTAGGTCCATGTCCTCTTTCCATGTCACTGACATCTATCTTTGTGTGGACCTCCGCTCCTTTCTACAGTGTCTTTTTTCATGCCACTCTTCCATAAAAGCCAGATTTGTAGAGTGCATGAACAGAGTGCTCCCGCCATGAATAATTGTCCTGTGGACAGATTCTCCCACTGCTCAGGTGGATCTCTGCAGCTCCTCCACAGTCACCATGCTTCTTGGCTTGTTCTCTTCGCCCTCCTGGCTGCCAAATTAGGTTGACAACCATGTGTCAGCAGGTTTGGAGATGTGTCACACTCTTCTTCAGATTAATTAAACAGTACTCAGTAAAATTTGGGATATGTTTCCATAACCTAACTCTGTTTTAAACTTTTCCACAACTTCATCTCTGTCCTGTCTGGTGCTTTCCTTGATCTTCACGATGCTGTTTGTTCACCATTGATCTCTAACAAACCTCTGAGGGCTTCAAAGAGCAGCTGTACTTAAGCTGACATTAAAGTTCACACAAGTGAACTCTTATTTACTAATTACGTGACTTCTGAAGGCAATTGGTAGCACTGGATTTTATTAAGGGATATCGGAATAAAGGGGGTATAAATAGTTTTTTAAGAAGCTGCTTACTCACCATTTCTTCTGCTTTCCATGTTTTCCTTGCTTGTTTATTTGTTTCTCACTTTGAAACTCACTAGAATTGTACAAACTCTGTTTTTGCCTTGTATGCTGTATTTACATTGACATGTCTGCACAGGATTCAATTTATCGCTGTTTACCTTTACTTCAGCTCCTACATTGGTCTTTGACTGTGAACTTAATGTAATTAGGTTTACTTAAACAGCATCTTGCACCCCACTTGAAAAGGGATTGAGTGGAGTCAGGATTCTGCTTCAGTTTTAGGTTTGTCAGTCCTGACCCGCCTCCCCATCTCACAATTTTACAATATCAACAGCTCCCTCTAGTGTTAGCGGCTCTTATTGTAGTGCTTTGTCAGTTTTGTGCCCCTCAGTTTGCCAGGTACAGGTTGTTAGAAAGAAGCAACACTGAAGTGGGTTAACAATAAAGACATAGGTCTCAGAGACTGAGCCTGTATAGAGCCCTCTCTTTTTTCAGATTATCTTTAGTATTTTTAGTTGAAGCTGTTGCAGCAAGATCTTTTCAGTGAAGCAGTGAAGTTGTTTTTGACTTGGATTAAGTTTGATTAAGATTAAGTTTGATTAAGATTGTGCTCCAGTATTTCCGGTTGAATCCAGATCCTTGGCTGAACATGCAGAACAGGGTCATTGTATTTAATGGGACGATAGCAACATCCTCTGAGCATTAAGACACTGATAGGAAGACGAGGGGATAGCACAATATTTTATCTATAAAAATGAATTTAGTCTTTAAGATTGAAAGTAAAATCCTCATCTAGGGGTGCTTTTGAAAGTATTATAAAATCAAGGCTATAGCCTCGTGTGGGAGAAAACCTGTTTTGGTTTTGTTTGGTTTTTTGTTTTCAAAAACAGCCTGGATGTCTAAACAGGAACAAACTTAACTTAGTTAACCTGGTTCGACACATAACTGGATGAATATAGCATTCCTACTCAAGGAACAGCTTTCAGTCAGTCAGAATTCTCTGTAAAAGCACCTGAAGCATGAAGTTTTTAACTGCTGTTCAAGTTAACTACTTAACTTGAACATTAAAAATTCATCTGCAGCCCCCACCTCCTCCTTTGTTTTACTTCATCAATTTCTATGGATTTTCGTCTGTAGATATTGTCAAAGTTTTGTGTTTTATGCTTGTGTTTTCTTTTCTTGGTAAATTTAACATTATTTTCACCACAAAGATGATGACAAATCATTTTTCTGCCAACTCATGTCATCTTACCTCTATTACAACACTTTCCAGAAATCAGAAATATTATAACCTGCCAACAAATGCAGGTGTGAGCCCGAAATAGACAAAATTATTTTTGTCCTATCACGTTCAACTACTGATGCACTAGGAAGTACAGAAAACAACAAAATAAACGGTGCTTATTGCAGATTATCTCATACAAGCATACTTTGTATGTGTGGATGTTAATGTTTTTCTCTTCATGTCCATTTACATGCTATTTATTACAGCCATCCTCAGATAACAAGGGAGTTGCAAGTTTCTATGTTTGCTTGAGGCTCCCTGTCAAGCTTAATGGAAGAGTAATTGCCAAAAACCACTGATTGCTAAAATGTAAAAACACACAGCTGGGAAATAATGAACAGAAAGTTTTGGAAACACCGGGTTAATCTTGTGTTTAATAATAAATATATTCAGCACATATATTATAAAATAACAGAAATATTAGGATTTGGCCTCAAAACCATGATTTTGCACAAATACCATGATTTTGCAAAAATACTATGATTTAGCAGAAGTACTACAATGTAGTAGAAGTACTTTGCTTTAGCAGAAATACTATGATTGAGGAGTAATACTTAAACATAGGAGAAATATTGATACACAGACACACATACACAGAGAGTAAAGGGAACAGGAGCTGTGGAGAGTCTGGGCTTGGTATATGTAGGTCAGTTAAATTAGCTGCACCTGCTGTAGTCAGCCCTTACACACACAGACACAGAGAGAGGTGTGAGTTTTCTTCAGTGTATTTCTGACATTCAGGACTCCCCTCGAACAAATGGCCATAATTTCCTAACCGTAGAGGCTAGAACGGTCATTCAGACATCGTTTTATTCAGAAGAGATGGGGGAATCTTCAGGTCTTCATAATTCAGAGATAAAACATAAATTATTAAAGATATATGACTTGTAATACACTGTAACTGAGTAGAGGCGAAGTAAAAACTGCCTTGACTTGTGCTCAAACAACCTTTGATAACTCTAAATCTATATGGAGCATCAAAATCATTCTTTCACCGTAAGAGACAGCAGGCTTTGGTGAACAGTCATGGAAATTTTCAGGGCTCTGTGGAAATCCATCAAAAAGATATGACGAGAGAAAAAAGTGGTTCATTTCCACAGTTTGAAATCTGATGAAATCTGAGCGAAGGACAAATTTCCTACCCTCAAACAAGTCCAACTCATTTCAGAACGGTAATAGGTGAGAAAGAAATTCTTGAATTGTGAGCGTCAGGAGTGTCTGAAGATATACGGGGACAAGCCTCATGTCTTAACTTTGCTTCGTTAAGGAGATATGACAATTTGAAAATGCCTCTCATTAGAGAAATCCAGCGGTGATTTTGAACAAACTCTCCATTGACTTTATATGGAGAGTTTTCTGACCATGTGTTGATCTGAGGAGATTTGCCAAAATTCTATAAATCCCACAACAATGATAGTGACATTTCCTGAAAGCCAGCAAAAATACCTACGTTTTGATGTATAATTTGTGGAAGTTGAGTGGAAATTGAGCGAGTAGCAAGGAGTTGTTCAGACATGAAGAGAAAATTCAGAACGGACGAGTGTGCAGTGGGAGTTAATTGCATAGCAACCATAGCAACGCATGTATTTTCTGAAAAATCACAATTTTGCAACTGAAAACTCAAAGAGGGATAAGATGAAAACGGTAGAAGATCTGAAAAAGCTGAATCATACAGGAATAGCCCAATCATTTGAGAACGTTTTAAAGTTTGAATGGAGTTTCTAGGTGAAAGTATGAGGCAGTAGTTAAGTTTCAAAGACAAGAAAGTTTTAGCAGAATTTCTGAAGTTTTCCATTCATTTCAATGGGACAAATTAAAGGAAAAAAGTGTAATATTTTAAAAAGTATAATAGTAATAAACACCAAAGATATAGCCGGCATTAGCAGAAAGAGCAGAACAGTTTAGAGTTTGAACTGAGAAAATCGGCTGAAAACTGAGGAAGTAGTTCGAACTCAAAAAACGTACGGAAGCGACAGGAATAATAATAAAGAATAAAGAGAAACAGGAACTCAATAGTGTGGATGCCTATTAAGGCATCCACACAGAATAAAGAGAAACAGGAACTCAATAGTGTGGATGCCTATTAAGGCATCCACACAATAAAGAATAAAGAGAAACAGGAACTCAATAGTGTGGATGCTTAAAGCATCCACACAATAAGAATAAGGCAATTTTGAGAAGAAGTTAAAGTGGTTATAACTCTTTTTGTGCCTGAGGCAGTGAGGCAGTGTGGGTCCCTGCTCTGTATGCTGTAGTGTTTTTTGTTGGAATCCTGGGAAATATTATTCTCCTGAGAGTTCTGGTTCAAAAAAGGAGACTGTGGAGCCTATCGGACACCTTTATTCTCCACCTGAGTTTTATGGACATCCTCCTCCTGTTGATGCTGCCCTTCTGGGCTGCACAGACAACTCAGCTTTGTGACTTGTTCTTTGGGACTTTCAGCCATATGTTTGGGGTTGTTTTCAAGGTAAAAACCAGATGTTGTGTGAAACAGAGACTGAAAGTGAAAACAAGACATTTTCAGTGAAGCTGTGAGAAAGCTGAACAGAGTCATTGTATTCAATAGACAGTGAAGTATTTAACATTTTTAAAGAGAACAAGCTTAGAACAGCAGTTTAGAGTAGGACAGATGTGAAAGGGAAGAAATGAAGTGTAATTTTTATAGATGTTAGAGGTTTGTGTCTTACACTAAAAGTTCTCTCTGTCTTCTTCTAGCTCAACTACTACTGTGGGATCTTTCTGCTGGTTTGCATCAGTCTTCAAAACTATCTGTCATCCATCCATGGCATCCAGTTATATTCCCACGGGAGGCGCTGGTTAGTTCACATCAGCTGCCTGTTAGTCTGGCTTATCTCTGTCCTCCTCACTGCACCTGACTGGATTTTCCTGGTGGGTAAAAATAATTACACAGAAGATAATACTTGTGTTAATATTTACCCTCAATCTGGAACTGACTGGCAGTTGTGGTCACGCCTGCTCCACCACATATTTGGCTTGGTGCTACCTGGACTCATGTTGATGATCTTTTGCTCACATATGCTACGGTGGCAGTGCAGCTGTAATGGCCTCCCAATCCCGAGAAATGTCACCGTCATCCTGTCTCTGGTGGTCGTATTCTGTCTGTGTTGGATGCCGTACAACTTCATACTTGTTTTGGACACTCTCCAGAACAGACTTCGGGATCCTCCTAACGATTCACAGGAAGGTTCTGAAAGTTCACTAAAAACCCTTCTCATGGTCACCTCTGCGTTAGGCTGCCTTCACGCCAGCCTGAGGCCTCTGCTGTATCTCGGCCTGTGTGGAAACTTCAGGCAACACTTACTGGCCATGCTGAGATGTAGTAAAACTGAACCAAAAGGCTCACTCTGGGATCTTGGTGTAGGCCAGAGACAGCAGCCTGATCACGGTCAGGATCAACAGC